GATTGAAAGTGACTTTGTGGGGCCCTGTACAGTGATAGACATTCGTTTAGCCGAGCGCTGTAATTTTTAAAATAAGCTGAGAAAAATATCTAAAACATGTTTTAATTGGGATATTTTTAGTCGCAGTGGTAGCAACAATCAATACGAAACTAACGATTTTAAATTGGCTCACTACTTGACTAGCCTATTGGTCCCAAGCAAACGATTAACGTACCCTATTCTAGTTGAAATTCTATTACTACACTATGTTTGTTTTGATTCGCTATGAAAGTTTGACAGATAACATCAGGGGTGTGTGGATTCATGCAGAACATGCAGGGGTGAGTGAAATAGCTTGGGACTGCTTGGGACCGTTGTTCTGGTACTGAGTGAGCCAAAAAAAATAATGATTTTCTTCGGGACCCAGTGGTCTTAGAGTTACCTCTATGGTGGTAGTGTACTTGAACCGCTTTCATGAGAAAGAAACGAGTCGCACACACACATACACCGAACTGGTAGCAGCGGATGTAAACATTCAATCAACGTTTTGACCCTAGACATTCGTTTAGCCGAGGTGCAAAAGAAATGTTTTTTTTTTTCGTAAATAATACTACATTTTCCAGTAGATTTTAACACGTATCGGCAGAACAACTTATCATCAGCAAGGTGCGTTTTGGTGATTGATGATAAATGTTATTGTTCCAGGAATGGCGAAGGATACTCGACTAACGGGGGAAGAACGGCTTATTATAAGGTTGTTCAAGGTTGGTTGGTTGGTTGGTTGTCTTTATTAAGGAGATTTTCAGCCCGACGCTGGTTCATCTCCGACAGGTTGTTCAAGGAGGAGGTTCACTCTAATGTTTCAATCAGACGAAAATTTGGTCGATTTGAGAAAGCGGTACGTCCTACCAAAGTTTGTTTGAGGCTGAAAGGATCGGTTGTCCTACTCCCAAATAAAACAAAAGCTAGATGTTCCGGTGACCCCCCGAAAAATTTCTCGGATTTTGAAATGAATCGCCGAACATCAAATGGAAGAAACTGCAAGGAAAACATGGAGTGGAAGACAGAATAGAGCGTTTTGACGTTTAATCGGCGCACACTGCGAGCAACAGGGAAACAGATCTAATATGGACCAACAGGTCTGTGCCATAAAAAGGGAGGGAAACAGATTAATGGGAAAACAAACCGTTCATTCATCCATGTGTGCTACACGGAGAACTATAAGGCCTGTATAGAGATCTAAGCGAAGCGAAAATATCATACAAAATACATACTACATTTTTCACCTGCGCGAAAAACGCAATTGGCAAATATTTCGCTTCGCTTTGAACTGTAAACAGATACGATCCAGCAAAATCTGTAAACAGATACGATCCAGTAAATCTAATTTTGTACCTAAGTATCGACGAAGATACACTAGCCAGAAGACGCCTCTTGCTGCTGCTTGGTCCAAAGTTGTTCGGTATGATTCTAGCTATCGAATTGATGGCCTTCGCCGCCTTCTCACATGCGTAGTCGACGTGGTTATTGAAGTTAAGCCGGTCATCGAGTATCACTCCAAGATACTTCAGCACGCGCTTTTATGCTCTGGCGTTCTCCCCGACGTTAATTTCTGCCCCAGTTGCATCCAGTTGGAAACCATGTCGATCGGCTCGGCTGTCAGCATTTCCATCTCTTCCAACGTCTCGCCTACTACCGCCAAGACGACGTCGTCCACAAATCCTACGATCCCGACTCTTTTGGACAGCTTTAGCGTTAGCACGTCGTTGTACATCGCGTTCCAGAGCATTGGGCCAAGGATGGAGCCTTGTGGCACACCCCCCGTGATCCGGATTGATTTCTCTCCCATGTCCGTCTCGTAGACTAGAACCCGTTTCTGGAAGTAACTCCTTATAATGCTACACAGGTAATCAGGAACCCTCATTCCATGCAGTGCTTCGGCGATGGCCTCCCAGCTGGCGCTGTTGAATGCGTTCTTCACGTCGATCGTTATCACGGCGCAATATCGATCTCCTCTTCACTTTTGTTTGGACGCTTTCTCGGCACTCTCGACCACTGTCCGAATTGCATCCACCGTTGATCTCCCTTTCCGGAATCCGAACTGCCTCACCGACAATCCGTGCTCAATCTCCGTGCATTTCGTTAGCCTGTTGAGGATGATCTTCTCCAATAGCTTTTCGACTGTATCCAGAAAGCATCCCAAGTAAACTAAAGTTCTGATAAAAGGCTATTTATGGCTTAAGCAGCTTGGTTGAAGGTAGTCTATAGAATTCTAAGCAGCCTCATTTTTAAGTCGTTATAAGAACTTGAAAGTTTCGGTACCATAAATGAAGAGCATCCCTAATAAAAAATAACCATAAACGAACGATAACCCAAATCATTGAACTATTCTACAAATGGTTTGGATGATACCCAGAACACGTCGTTAAGCAAATTAACCATACAATTTTTATTAGGGATTCTAAGCAGCTTTTGGCGGAACTTGATCGTAGATCGCATGCCGAATACACGGGTTCGAATCCAGGAAATTACTCTTTATTTTTTTATGTTTGGATAGAATGTTGATGCACTGCATAAATATAAGAATTATGATTTATTCGGGCCACTGATCATTTAATATTTACGTACATTAAATTTTGTTACTAATAAAGACTTGTGCGGATTTCTTCATGTGGCTTGAAAGTTCTGTCGGAACTTTATTTGAACTTTAAAGTTCTGTCGGAACTTTATTTGAACTTTATGGAACTTGGAAGTGATTTTAATCGTTGAATGCGGAACTTTTGGTTGCTTGGGATATAGGCCTATACGATGTTTGATCCCCCGGCGGTTTTCCGGGCTTCGGCAGCAGCACTAGCTTCTGTATCTTCCATCGGTCCGGGAAGTGACCTTCATCCAGACATTTCTGCAGCACTGTCCTGAACATGTCCGGGAACGCCTGGATCGCCGCCTTCAACGCGGATTAACTTTATTAACTTCGGAATTTTCTTATTTGTGTCAATGATAAAATAAAGATTGCTCGGATACAATACTATTTTATTAAATCCATCCACAAAAATCAGTAGAGGCACCGGTGGTGTAGTGGTAAGCGGGATTACCTCTCACCCCAGCAGACCTGGGTTCAATCCGAGAGTAAAACCTCATAATGTTATATGTTGTTCAACATTCTTAATTATTTAAAAACAAGCCTAAGAACATAGCCGTGACGTAATTTTAACCCTAACTTTTTTTTCAAATGGTACTGTTATTTTTTGCTGTCAGACAATTTGACTTGCTATTCTTTTTCAGTTCTCTAGAAATAATCTAGATACCTATTTCAAAAGGTCCTATCTGCATTAATCGATTCTCTTCATCGACTTTGTCTTTCGTTAATAACTCAACTGTAAAACCTTTGTCTGTTGCATTTGACGTTTTGGACGCTAGATAAGAACCTCCTTTATCGAAATATGTGGAAAAAATAGCTCAAAATCTGTTTGCATAGCAGTGGTTATCAAAAGAGAAAGTCGATGAAGAGAATTGATCAAAGCTGATAGGACATTTTGAAATGTTTCTCGAGAAATCCCCTTTTTTAATAGAACAGCTAAAAAAATATATCGACAGTGAGCATGCATAAGGGCCTATACGCGATGATCGATTCTCTTCGTCGATTTTCTCTTTTGTTAATAACTCGCTAGATTTAACGTTTCTCGGTGCGTTTGATGTTGCTTTTGATAGCCAACACAACCTGTTAATACTCTGCATTGAACAAATTCTAGAAAATTGTTTCGCTTAGCTGTAGCAATGCAAAGAGAAAATCGATGAAGAGAATCGATCATCGCGTATTGGCCCTTATGCATGCTCACTGTCGATATACAAATATAAACTGAATTATCATGCTAACTCAAAATGAATATAAAGAAATTGCAGGTGGGACTGACCTGCGATTATCGGCAGTGAATGTGTCAAACTTATTCTTTACAATCTCTTTTCATAACTAGCAAGAGCAAAATATCATCATAACATCTCATGATTGTATATGAAACGAATTGCCGCAACCCTGGCCACAATACTAAAGATTATGACCAGATCCAGAAGTTGAATTAATCTAGTGGATTCTACGAGTCCACTGAATCAACCACCGCTGTTTTATAGAAGGTAGAATCTTCTCTAAACTATTAGACTCTGATATATAATAAAATTTTCAAATCCTAGAACACATTATTTTTTTTTTTCCAAATAAGTCTTATCTCAAATTAAAAACTTCATTAGCAGTACTGCACCAGCCGTCAGAACTATTCTCGTTTCAAAGAAGAAAAAATCTATTGAAATTATTATTTTCTGGCTAGTTGAATTCGGGCAAGTGCTAGGTACATTCGAGCTAGAACCTATTTAGAATTGAGAAAAATATTGTTGTAACAATAAAACAATGAAATGCTCTTTAAACAACATTTTGGAAAACGCTCCGTTACTGCTTCGCTACTCAGATTGACTGTCGTGCCCGTATTGCTTCCAAAGAAGCTTCTAAAAGAATCTAAATGAAGCATCTTTTGGAAGCTAATTCTAGACGCTTTTCAAAGCCCATTCAAGAGCTTTTTTAAACCGTCTAAGGAGCATTTCATCGATTTAAGGGAACGTTTACATAGCTGCCATTTAGGATTGTATCTAAAAAAAATCATAATTTGACCCACTCCCAACAAAGCTGGATTCCACTCACTTGCTATAAAAAATGATTTTCGGAATTTTGAAATCATTAGATGTTAGGTAATGATATTTTTTACTTATAAGATACTAGAACAGGTTGAAAGACAAGTACTCGACACATAAAACCTATCAAATTCGCTTTCAGATAGTCACAATCAGCGATTCGACGACTAGTGAGCGCTCACTCTGAGTGAACGCTCACGAATAATAAAATCGCTGATTGTGACACTTTGAAAGCCAAGTGCCGGAAAGTAACCGTGATGCCAACCAACAATGAAGGTGATATATAATAGAGCTCAAAACGGATCCAATGTTTGTTGTTTTCAATGTAAAAATATTTGTATCTCTTAACAAGCTTAGCTTAATACTACTTATCAACGGTGTACCAAATTAGTGGTAAAGGTGCTTATAGAAATTTGATTCTTTGCACGATACTCGGCACAGGGGAAACAACTGTCGCACACGATCAGCGTTGAGGTACTTATTGTCGCTTTTACTCCTATCGCTATCGGATTCTTCTTCGTCGCTGTCACTGTCGCTTTTGCTATCGGCAACACATCGCTTGAAGTAGCATCGGTCGATGAAAAGCTCTCGCATGTTGGGAAAATTCTTGGCAATAGGTAGAAGGGTATCACTGGTAAGCGTGCAGTTGTAGAACACTACCCGATTAATGGAAGGAACCACCGGACAGTGCTGCCAGAGCAGGATATTCGGCTCGCTGTTGTCCAACTTTAACGATCGAAGGTTCGTCAGACGATGTAGATGACGCAGGCACGTGTTGACCAGCTTTTTATTTTTGTGTGTAAAAAGTGCTCGTATTAGAATAAAAAGTAAACATCGAGTTAATATATACATTAATTTCTTACCTTGGTATTGGCAAGCACTTCCAAGTCTACCAAATTGGGCAAATTTTTGCAAATTTTGTACAGCACTTTGTTGTTTTTTTCCGTCCACAGCGACACTTTGAGAGATTTTAGCCCGGCGAGGCCTTCATTGAACACGATGCTTGATTCGTTGTAGAACAGTGAAAGCTTGTCGAGATGCGGCATATTAAGTGTAGGCAGCACCGGTGAAGGCATCAGTACTTCGCAGCGAAAAAGTGTGAAACTCTAAAGTGAAAGACAAATTTCTAATCATACGTCATACTATAGTATATCAACCCCTGAAAAGAGCGTTGAGTAATGTACGGGAAACAAAATTGAGTGGTTGAACTTAGACACTCTTCGGAAATGCTTACCATTACCGATTCGTAACGATTGTACTCCAGGAGGATTCATACCTTTAATTTTGGCAACGATTCCACCACCTTCAACTGTGCGTAGTCTATTTGCTGTTCTTCCAATGTCAATTCCTCCAGCTGATGATTGCTCTTGGCAAGTAAGGTTCCTATCCGGAAGAACATCAGGTTGCTCTCCAGCAGTAGCTTCTTCAGTCTTGGGATATCTCTAACAAACTGTTCGTCCTTCTCCACATCGGATATTGGATTTCGGCTTCGTGCATATCTAACCTGTGTTTCCTTGTCATCAAACATTCGAACGTGCAGATGCCTCAAGCTTGGAAAAGGCAACGAGAGAAACGATTCCATGTACTCTACATTCTGGAACCGCAGCTTAAGGGTTTGAAGTTGACGGCAATATGTTTCAACGATTTCCATACTCCAGCGACATTTTGGTTGTATATCTAGACACGTCAAGTTAGGTGCTTCTATTCTAAATGCATCAATTTCATAAGACAATCCTATCCTAAGCTTCTGGAGACAGTTGTGCTTGATTACCCATATGCTAGGGTCCAGTGCTGGACCATTTGGATTTCGTTCCTGATCGAATGAAATTGTTAGCTCACGAAGTTGATCCATTTGTGATAACCGATCCTCGATGATGCTCCGACAGCTGCTAAATGTGCTGTTCAGTTCAAGGCTTTCAAGTTCTAGCTTTTCTTCGAACAGTAAATCCGTCACGTTATGCTCCGGACTTGGTTTGAACAAGTATTTGAACTGAATGACCATCTCCTTCTCATGTTCATCCCCCTCCTCATCTTCATCGTCATAATCGTCATCGTCCATGTCATCCCAATGAGTTATGGACAGATTCCTACAGCTACGAAGTATTCGTTTCTCTAAATCCGATAACTCTTCTTCGAATGTGCTATCAAGCACCAGCCGGTACTGTCGCTGGAAGCGGACGCAGTGTAGGATGTTGTACCACTGAGTGCATACGCTAGAGATCTGCTTCCGATCTGAGACGCTCAGAAAATCGAAAATTCGCGTTAAGATCTAAAATACAGACCATTTAATTACGAAGCAGTTCAATGCTAATTTTATATGAATACAAACCTCGACTGGAAGCTCGTTTATGTTCTGCATTATTCTCGACCGGGGAGCTGAAACGTGTGAAATGTAAATTGAGTTCCGAAATCTAATAACTGAGATAACAATTTGTCCTTGAAAATCTAAATTCCGAATAACCACATTAATCACCGTTATTCTTAAACAGATATGTTTTGCATTTTCTGTATATTCATTGCATTAATATTACCTAAGTGCATATTGCAACATGAAATACCATGAAGTGATGTTGGAGAAAAACCGCAGAGGAGTGCTAGCCAATGCATGACACCAAGCACATTTTTCTTTTCTCTAACGCAAATAAATCAAACCACGGGCTCTTCCTTTAAATAACAGTTAAAATTTTACCACAAAATAGGATCAACAGCGTAAAATAAACACACAAAATTGATCAATACTATACACTACCAAGAATTTACGCATTGTTAATTTCACCAAAATGCATGCAATTATTACAGCTCGTGCTACTTCAGCCGGAATGAGTCACGTATCGGGAAAACGGATTCACCCGGTCAAGCCACAATGTTTCTTATTCACTGATATACGAACCTCTCTATCTACAGTCGGTGATCGAACCTCCAGTGAATGCACAATATTACCAATATTCCGTTCCGTAAAAATCACTATTTTTAACACTCGAAGTGAGTCAGGCTGTTCTTCCCGTTCCGAACTGACTTCCAATCGTCAAGAATGATGGGAACAAAATAAACAAGAGAAAATTCTCGCCAGAATCCGCGATTGACAATTTCAAGCCTAATGCAAAAACTATGGATCGCTTGGATTATTAAGGTGCACACACTATTTTATTTTACTGGAAGCTATCACAATTTTTCAGGGTTATCAGCGTTGCCAGATTGTTTTCATGATTATCGGTATCAAATGATTTAAAAATCGGTTTTTATCGGTATTCACTATTTTAATTAATTTTAATTTTTTTCAAACTTTTGGACTAAAATCGAAAGATGTACTTTCCATGTTAGTTGGAAGAATTTTCTGGGAAATATTTAAATTAGTCTCTTAATGGTACCGACAAAACTTCCAAAGGAAGAATAAAGAAGATGTCGTGGAGGAAGTTCGAACGAAGTTCTAAAAGATTTCGAAAAAAAACATCTTCTAAGACAAATATTGAAAAACTTCTGGCAAATTTTTGTAGAAACTTTCGGAAAAAAATCCAGAAGCCAACCAAGTTTGGAAATTACAAGCCAATCCCGGAGGTGCCATTTCCAGGAGAAGTTAGGAGAAGCTATGAAAAACCTTTCAATAAGTCGGAAAAAAAATCCTACGGAGAGTGATTTATGGAGAAACTTCCAGAGGAATACGAAAGAAACTTCTGGGAGAACTCGATAGATACATCCGGTAGAACTTCAATTGAACTTCCTGGAGAAGACGGAAGAAACTTCCAGGAGACACTGGGAGAAACTTCCTAAGGTAGATTGGAAGAAACTTCTGGGAAAAGTCGGACGCCAGAGGGCGTACGGTACAGTTGAAAGATACTTCAAGGAGAAGATGGGAAAATATCTGGAAGAAATAGATTTCTGGAGGATGTTAGCACAATCCCCCTTATTCTGCGAGTCACGTGACTCTCTGTCACCGGTGAGGTGACAATTGTCACCTCGTGTGAGGTGACTCTCCATGTAAATCAAATGGAGAGTCACCTCACACGAGGTGACTATTGTTACCTCACCGGTGAGAGAGAGTCACGTGACTCGCAGAATAGGGAGGAATATTCCCTGAAGTTCCAGCAATTTTTCTGAAATTAATAAAACATCCCTGAAAATCTCACAATGTCCCTGAGGTTTTCGGAATATTCCTGAATTGCACTTTGGAATATCCCATAATTCCTCGGAACTCCTTGAAAGTTCTTGCAATTTTCCTAAAGTTAATGGGGCTGTTTTGAAGTTCTCTGATCATCCTCAAAGTACTCGCAACTTCCCTGATTATTATGGAATTACCGGAAAATCACTTATCTTCTTTAAAAGTCCCTGGATCTTCTTTAGCGCTTTCAATATTTTTTTTTTAAATTAATGAACATCAGCATTAAAGTTCTCTGATCTTCCCGATTTCTTAATTTTCACAATTTTCTAATGTTCATGTAACTTTCCTTTCCAACATTTTCACGAACCTCTTGGAACTTAACTGAAGTTTTCGGAAATTCCCTGAGTTTCTCGGAACTCATTTAAAGGTTCAGAAATATCCTTGAATTTATATGTCCTGATTTTCTCAGAGCTTCCCTAAAGTTATCTCAATCCTCCTGAAACAAATGGAATTATCCTGAAAACCATTAAATTTCTTTGAAGTTCTTTGGGCTTGTGAAGTTTCCAAAATATTTCAGTTTCCTTATACCCCGTTCGCATTACAGCCTATATCACGTAATATAGGCTGTCTTGCAATGAGCACTCATACATAGGATTTCCAGTGAAAACTAGATGTATGAGTGCTCATTGCAAGACAGCGTATATCACGTGATATACGCTGTAATGTGAACGGGGTATTATACCCCGTACAGTCTATGGCTTATATCATGTAATAATGCACTCATACACAGCAAAAAAAAATGTAATATCGATCAATGTAATTCAAGCTGATGTATGAAATAATGATGTAATAGCAAAAAGCAGATACAATATTACATCAATGGATGTAATTTTGTTCGCAAAATCGATGTACATCGTACAACGTTATATTACACAACCGATGGATTGACCTGGTTGCAGCAGTTTGGATGTAATATTCAACAACTTTTTTTTCTGTGTACATCTAGTTTTACTGGAAATCCTATGTATGAGTGCTCATTGCAAGACAGTCTATATTACATGATATAAGCCATAGTCTGTCCGGGGTATTAGGTTCATTGAAGTTCTCTGGGCTTTCCTGAGATTCCCAAGTTCTCGAATTTGAACAGAAGTTAACGAAACTGTCCGAACTATTCTTAAGTTTTAGAACTTCTGAAAAGTTCCTAAAGTTTTCCTGAAACTAATGGAACCGCGAACCGCAATAATACTCTGGAAGCATTTCTGAAGTTCCGGGGTAGTTGAAAAAACTGACGGGAGGAGACGGAAGAACCTTTCGAGCGAAGCCAGAAGAAGCTTCCAAGGGAAGTCGAAATAGCTTTCCGGAAGGAATCGGAAAATAACTTACAGCGCAGGGTAAGGTGGACGGAAATTCCTAGGGGAAAGTTAGAGGAAACTTCAAAGGGAAGATTAAAGAAATTTCAGGAAGTTCAAAAATTAACGTTTCTATGGCCCTATTTTTCCACTGAATAACAGTATTTCCCGATTTACAGAAATTATTGGGATGAACCATCAGCTGTTTCTCGGCTCCTTGGTTACCAAAAACGTGAGAAAGTGGAAGCCTTAGTCGAAAGAGTATCAAGCATAAGACATTTTTGAAGCTGAAATTTGTTTAGAGCAGGCTCAAAAATTTTAATTTTCAAGAAGATAAAAGTCTATCATAAAAGTTTCCTTTGACAATTCGCCGGGCAGGCAGTTATCATTTTGATTATTAATAAAAAATCGGTATAAATCGGTACTTAAACTCAAAAATCGGTATTCTGAGAAACCTTATCTGTATATCGGTATCAAGTTTGAAAATCGGTATAAATACCGATAAATCGGTATATCTGGCAACGCTGAGGGTTATGCCAACCGATGGAAACTAACGATTTTAAATTGGCTCACTATTTGAATAGCCTATTGGTCCCAAACAAATCGATTAATGTACCCCATTCTAGTCGAAATTCAAGTACTACACAATGTTTCGAGGGGTGCATCGATTTGCTTGTGACCGAAGAGAGTACCAGAGCTGAGCCATAAATTTGAGCACATTTCTTCGGGACTTTCTGGTCTTAGACTGTCCATAAAAGCATAACTGTCCCATATGAATAGGAAATCAAGCAAAGATGGGACAATTTTGCTTTAATGGGCAGTACAGTTACCTCTATGGTTATGCCGTGCTGTAAAACCGAGTGTAAAACCAGCAATTCTTCCAGCAAAATATTATTGCTGAACGACCAGCAAATTGACCTGACGGAAGAGTGACAGTTGTTTACTGAAACACCAGTAATATTTACTGGAATCAAGATATCTAATTAACAAAATTTCAGCAATGTCCATCCCCTTCTGCGGTACGTAATATTTGAACGGGCTTAAAGCCGAGAGGGGTGATTGCCCTCCTTGAACTCACCAACTTCAAAGCGTTCGGTAAAATGGCGTTCGGCCAAATCCTCCATAGTAACGTAAAACTTTAATGGAAACGATAAATTCATTCATAACATTTGATAACGGCACAAAAGCATTTGTAAACTAAATTTCTAAGGCCCTTTACACGTGAACTAAAGTACATCCACGCAAACCAACAACATAATCGGATAGGGGCAACTATCACCTTTCCGAAAGTGGTATTGGTTTGCGTGGGCGTATGTTGGTTCACGTGTAAAGGGCCTTAGAAATTTTGTTTAAAAATGCTTTTGTGCCGTTATCAAATGTTTTGACTGAATTATTATGCGGGTCACTCAGGCTCTTAACCATTTGGCGGATGTTTTATCTTCTGGTTAAAATTAGACAGATGGAAAGTTGTCGATTAAGGCTCTGGACCATTTGGTGGATTATTTTAACTTTTGGTTAAAATTTGACAGATGGAAAGTTATCCATTAACCTTGCTATCCGAGCATGCACAGCAAAAAAAAATGTAATATCGATCAACGTAATTCAAGCTGATGTATGAAATAATGATGTAATAGCAAAAAGCAGATACAATATTACATCAATGGATGTAATTTTGTTCGCAAAATCGATGTACATCGTACAATGTGATATTACTCAACCGATGGATTGACCTGGTTGCAGCAGTTTCGATGTAATATTCAACAACTTTTTTTGCTGTGTGGTTATTTCTGACAGACAAGAAGTTAAATTTTGACAACCGTGGCTCGAAAACCGGTCGATCGACAGCACAGGTATTTTCGAACATAGAAAATAACTTTCGAAATGTCACTTTTAAGCTGGGACGGGACTTGACAATCGGGTAGCGATTTCGAGCCAATTTTCTGTCAAATCCGAGCCAGTTTCTGATTGGTCGATTTGACAGTAGCAATCGTGGAATAAAAAGGATAGAGGGATCGTATCAATCTGGCTGGCAGTGATGCCGGAATCAATGTTGACGTCAATGGCGTTGTTATTTGTTTATATTTACGAAAAGTGAGTTGAAAAATTGAGTGCACTGCGTGTTTTAAGCTATGGATATTGTTGTTTGTTTATGGTTAATTTTATTGTGTTGAGCAAAAATGATGTTCAAGCTGCTAGACTGCGGTAGAAACTCCGGATAAAATCCAAATTTAAAATAGAAAAATATTTTACATTCCTGGCATCATTGGTCTACTCCTTCAAACACCACGCGCAACTTTCCGAAGGGCATTCTTCAAAAACATTAAGAAGAGTGAGAAGCTCGATTGTCACGTCCCGTCCCGGCTTTTAACCACGAGTTAAATTTAACTCGGCAAATGGTTCACAGCCTAAAGGCCGGCGCACAATAGATACATTTTCAGGTTTTTTGACAGTTAGCCCATGCATTATCTGTCAAAAAACCCGAAAACGTATCTATTGTGCGCCGGCCTTAACCCTGCTATCCGAGCGTAGTTATTTCTGACAGACAAGAAGTTAATTTTTGATAACCGTGGCTGAGTTCTGCTCGAAAACCTTTCGATCGGTAACACAGGAATTTTCTAACATAAGAAATAACTTTCGAAATGTCACTTTTAATCACGAGTTTAATTTAACTCGGGAAATGGTTCACAGCCTCAGTTGAGTAAAGTGGTGTAGTGTGCAGTGACATCCTTTTGACAACTTTTATTTTCATTGGGACCATTAAACTGACGGGAGTGGCCTTGAAAACGGCTGATCGAAAGCTATCAAAACGAATACGAAGAAAATGTGAATCGAGGTGTGAAGCAACTACAGCATGCTCAAAACAAAACGCAGTTGCTGATTTTCGGTTGAAATTTATTAATGGCTTTATCAATAAATTCCCTACCGGTTGAGGTAATTCCATTCTATACAGTTAAGTTAAATATCAGCTAACCTATTTCCGATGCGTTCTAGATTTTGGAGAACATTTTCACTCACCTTCCTTTCAAGGACGTCCGTCACTTTGGCCAAGTTTGCCATATTTGGAACGATGTTCTGCGCGGTTCTCAATTTCAACGGCGAATCCGAGTAAAGTTGCAGAATGACTTCCGTCAGGATATTTCACCGGCCAGCATGAAGTTCTTGACTACATGTAAAAATCTTTCAATAGTTCAACAGTATGATAATTCGAGCAATTACGATGCAGAAGTTGAAGGTGAGAGTGAGACAGACTCACAACGACTACAGGATGCTGCCAAGGCAGAACAGAATATTGCATTTATCTTGTTCGGAACGACCGAGTTGGACAGTTTACAACTTTTCAGTAAATATAAGAGCGTGAAGAATATTATTCAGGATAGACTGTTTGAATTGTCGCATTTGAAAGAGTTGAAATTTTCGTTTTTTTATGACGGAAATACGTGCCAGCCAGGTGAGAAAGTTTGGCACTTGAAGAGTGATAGTTTGGAGACTTTCAAAATAGGACTACCGTACTCGGTTGGGCCATTACATCTGGAAACTCCACATCTGAAGGAATTGCATCTAACAGTAAGTTGTGATGTTCTTATGAATCCCGTAGAGCAGTACAGCAACCAGTTGACGGTATTGAAAATAAATCTTTTTGATATTGAGACACTCGATAAAATCATGACGTGTAGTTTCCCTTGTTTGGAAAATCTGGAACTAGCAATGTATGATGACAAGGAAATACAAAGTAGTTATGCTCAAACAGCGGATCGAGCGATAGATGATGAACGATCTCGACAATTCACGCAACATATGCCACTGCTCAAAGTGTTTGCAGTGCATAGTAATGTAGCGTTTTATAAAATCTTTCCCACCTGGTGTTCACTTAGGACAAGCTTGCAGGAGTTGGAGTTGTACAATCTGGAAATTGACGCCAATGTTCTCATTAACGTTCTGTTAGTTCAACCGTTGAAGGTATTTTTTTTAGTGACAATAGAAATTAAAATTGGATAAATGTTTTCTTCTTTCCAGAGCCTTATACTCCAGCAATGTGAACTCATAAATGACCTACCCGGTTTGCACATACGTATGGTTGGATTGGAACGGTTAAAACTGATAAGCGTTGTGAACAATGTTCTGCTGGAGCACAATTTTTGCGGATTGAGGTATTTGGAGCTGGCACATTCTTTCAAATATGGAAACGATTTGCTTCAGAAAGTTTTCTATAACTTCACATCAGTGGAGCATGCGAAGATACATTTTAGAACAACGGTAAGACCTGAGACTGTGATAGGGCATTACATTTGTAACTGAGAATTTCAAGACATCCGTTGTATTTCAGCTTGACGGAGATGCCTTCCAAAAACTACATCAAATGAAAAGTCTCAAGTCTCTGGAAATGCGAGCCACTGAAGTCACTGATGAACATTGGAACCATTGCCAACAGCTGCCAAGCGTCGAACAGTTTACGATAACCAATTGCTTCATGTTGAAGTTTTCAATGTTTGCTTCATTGGGAAGAGTCTTTCCGTCTGTAAAACGGTTGTATGTGGATCGTTGTCACATTATTGACGATACCAGTGGTGCCGATGCTGCCATCGATGGAGGTTGCGAGCGTAAGCTGCGAAAAATGTTTCCAAACTGTATTGTGTCGTGGCATGATTCTGTACAGTTAACACCGATGTCTTTGAAACAGTTGCTGATGTGACGACCAGCTAACCATCATACAGGTTTATAAAATACGCTTACAAAAATGATCATGTTGTATAGGGAGTGTTCTCAGGAAAGTTCTTAAAGTCAATTTTGTGTAAAGAAATAATATTTATTTTATGATGTGATGTACTTTGACGATAACAAATTTATTCTAGAACTAGATGACATCCTTTCCTCCACCGCCACAAGCATCATGTAATTCCTCTATGTGGCAATCGTAGTATGAAATTGTGCATCCGGGAAGCTGTGATCGTAAACCATACGTACAATTTTCATCAAGTTCGAACACATCGGTACGAGGCTGACGTAGATAGCAATGATCTAGGAATAACTGTCGAAGTTGTTTGAAAACTTGAACCAACTGTTGAGCTGTTTTACCGTCGATACTGCAACCATCCAAACGAAGGCTTTCAATTCTGTTGTCATTACACGTGCTCCAATCCAGCAGCTCCGTTGCTATTCGATTAAGTTGAACGGTTTTCAGGAATTCCATTTTTTTCAGATGTGAAAGTGATTTGGTTTCACGGTACCCAGATTCAGTTTGTAACTGGAAAACGAAAACAAAACTTCATTAGTATAGAAGAAATGCTAAATGATAACAACCAAAATTACCACACCAATCTCTCCCGGGGCTACACCAAAACTTAGCTGTTCGAGTTTTGGATAGTAAATGCACAGGTCCTTCAATATATCGCATAGCTCAAATTCTTCACATTGGAGATTCAAGATTTTTAAATTTGGGAATTGAGGCAGTGGATTACGTAGTCTATGACAGAGCGTTAACCTCTTGATGCTACTTGATTTTAAACATTGTTCTTTTCCGTGAGTAAATATAATATTGATTAACATGAGACTTTCAAGCAATGTTAACCGCTCCAAGGATTTGTTGAATTCTGCATTAATATTCACTTTGATCAAAACAAGCTCGGACAAAGATTTAGCGGCTCTGAATTCCTTTCCAATTGCGGGAAGAGTATAGTTGTCATGTAAGACCAACTTTTTCAAACACGGCATTCGTTCCAGCAGTATTTCGAGGTCGTTTCCTCGAGGCACGATATTCATATGCAGTTCTCTTAAGTTGTCCCATTCGACATCCGAAAGAGCTGTGTAGACCTGTTTGACCTCACTGAATAGCATCAGGCTTTGCAGCTGTCCTCGTAGACTTTTGATAAAGTCCACACATTTTTCATCTGACAGATGGGAATTTATGGCACTCAAATTAGGACAATCGATTTCAATTGTCCACATTCTTTTGAAAGTGGCATTTTTCAAAGTTTGATGACTGATTCGTAACATTTCTCCGTCACAGTCTCGCAGATCCAGGTGCAATGTTTCCAACATCTCCATCTGTGCCAGATTATGTTCCAAAATCCATTTAGCAGTTGCCTTCGCAGTAACGATGTTGAGCGATTCCAATGGAGCATTTTGGAGATAGTTATTCAACGAACTCTTATGGTCATCCGGAATACTCTCACAAGAAATCACAGCATTGCGACAAAGTTCGTAAACCGTTCCGTCACGAAGCTTCAATACTATATCGTCTGCTGACCTTAAATGCAGATACAAACGTTTGCAAAACTTGGGACTGAATACTAGTTTCCGCCACGCTTTGCACGTACAAGATACCACAAGACGTTCATGATGCTGGAGATGGCCAAATATTTGTTCGATCATCTACGGACAAATGAACCATTACCTTAAACCTTATAATTTAGACATCGGCGAAGTTATGAAACCAATGTATCAGGCAGGCCTGAACATACTCATTACAGCTAAAATACTACTCTTCGAAATTATGAAACTATCAGATATTTTAATAATAATTTATATATGTAAGATGCATGTAGTAGAGGTAAAGTTTGTGTATGACACATAAAATCTGTCAATTTCGCTTCCAGAGTGTCGCAATTAGCGATAAGCTATAACGAATAGTACTCACTCATGACGATTACTCATTACAGCTAAAATAGCTTATTGTGACCCTCTGAAAGCAAAGTTCACTGGTTTTATGCGTCATACAAAAACTTTATCTTCTTTTATTGCATCTTACACATACAAATTATTATTATAATATCCCATAGTTTCATAATTTCCAAAAGTAATATTTTAGCTATAATGAGTATGTTCAGCCTGGTATCAGTGTGTTACTTGACTCATAATGAATATACTTTGTATCCGTGGTCCCTCGGATACAACGTATACCTCATCCAATTTTACAATGCAAAATTAGACGAGTTCATGTTCCCACGGATACAACGTATATTCTTTTGAGTCGTAAGACAGTAGCAGCAATCACAAGATTTTCTGGACCTGATACATTGATTTTATAACTGATAGCAATAAATTACAAGGAAGCAGAATCTCATTCGGGGAAGTGACATGTAGCACAACCATTCCAGAATAATTAAACCAAGATTACGACGAATACAAACCTCGGGGGGTAAATCTGTAATCTTGATACTCATTGTGCTCGCAAGCTTGCTGATGATCCTGTTTATTGTCTTATTCGTTTAGTTCTGCGGTATCCTGATTACTTATTACCGATAATTCTTGTTTCAATTGTTCATTTTACTTTTCTAGCTTGAATATCCTTTTCATAAACTTAATCACTTGAACTTAGAGCTAGATGCAAACAGAATGTTTATAAACAACGAAAGGGTGAAAGTGACTCAATGACGTTTATACAAGGTCCGAACCAACAGGCAGCTTACTGGTGTTAGAAGCAAAAATATTGTAAACATTGCTGGACACTCATGACTCAAGTGAAGTCGTCGCGCTACCACACATGCATTCATACCTTTATTACCTAGTTACCTCAGTTACCTCTATAGTAGTAATGGTTATAACATGTTATAGCGCTATCTTGATGGTGGTTTCTGTGTTGCAATTATTTGACAACCGTTATAACATGTTATAACTCTCCAGTCTGTATAGCGTTTTAGGTTCTGTTGTAATTGGATGTATTCTGATGTTTTATGCGTGCAACAAATTACATCGTGATGAAGTTTGATTCTAATGTAACGTTAGGTTCTGTTGTCATTGGATGTATTCTGATGTCAAATTTTACATCGTCAAGACGTTTGATTCTGATGTAACGTTTGAGGCTAATGTATTTTTATGTACTTGGACGTCACACTGAAGTCTGAATACATTAAGGGTACATCAACATACGTTAAAATTTAATGTATTGAAGATGTCTGCTGATGTTTCCTACATTACAATTTCTATTCGGGAGTAGTGTGCTTTGGTCAAAAAATTTGTTGTATTTATATTTATATTGTAAATAAAAGAGAATTTCCACACCCAACCGGTGGATGTAAGATTCGCTTACAATTATGTGGGATTCATCATCAGAGGATGTAAGTGGAGACAGCATGAACCGAGGATGCAATATACCTAGCTGCGGTCCAATGCAAGAGAATTGGAGACCGAAAAATGTGGAGTGTATTAGTGAGTGAAATGAATTATGTCGAAAAAAATTGGAAAAAAGTTGCCGACTGGGACTCGAACCACGAACGTTGTGATTATCAGACCTGTGCTTTCTCCACTGCTCTCTCCATATGCTTCTGAATATGGATAGCCTAAAAGCAAACAAGAAGCGCTCATTTCCTCTCACACTTGACTTCGTATGCTTTTTCTGCTGGAGAGATTCGAGGCAAGTGTGTGCGTCGTTCTGCCATCTTATACATAAAAATCAAGGCAAATGCTTGCTTGTGTAGATGAAAGCACATACAGAACACAAAATAAAAAAGGCAAAAAACCATTACATCGCCTGCAAGGTCAACTTCTAACATTCGCTGCGATGTTCATGAACAGAGGATGATAGGAAATGGAACTAACATTCATTGTAATAAATTTTTGGTTTGCTAATAGATTTTTGGTTTGCGTGTTGGTGCTATCTTAACTTGATTTGATGATGCTGAGTTGTCATTGAACGAACTCATGAAATGCTGCATGAACAGACGGCCCTTCTCTGGTTCGAAACTGGCGATTTTCTCCCCGAGATGAATTTGTAAAGCCAAGCCGATTTCCTTCCCAAGTACACCCAACCGGAGGATGTAAGATTCGCTTACAATTATGTGGGATTTATCATCAGAGGATGTTAGTGGAGACCGCATGAACCGAGGATGCGATACACCGAGCTGCGGTCCAATGCAAGAAAATGGAGAAAGAAAAATGTGAAGTGTATTAGTGAGCGTAATTAATCATGTCGAAAAAAAAAACGATTGCCGACTGGGGTGCGACTCGAACCACGAACCACGAACGTGGTGATTATCAGACCTGTGCTTTCTCCACTGCTCTCTCCTTGCTTCGTGGTACGGACAGGATAAAAGCAAACAAGAAGCTCTCATGTCCTCGCATACTCGATTTCGTTTGCTCTTTCTGCTGGAGAGATTCGAGACAAGTGTGTGCGTCGTTCTACCATAGTATACATAAAAATCAAGGCAAATGATTGCTTGTGTAGGTGAAAGCATAGAAAGAACGCGGAATAAAAAAAGCTTAAAAGTCATTGCATCGTCTCCAAGGTCAACTTCTAACATTCGCTGAGATGTTTATGAACAGAGGATGATAGGAGATGGAACTAACATTCATTGTAATAAAATTTTGGTTTGCGTGTACCAATTTATAGGTAGAGAAAAACTTTCGTTTTGAATTTGTTCAGATGCATGCTGAATAATAATGGCACAATTTGTTTACCACAACTCGTGTAAAACCCTTGTTTACACTGCTTTGGAGAATCTATTCAACTACAGCATTAAATGTATACGGTATAGGAGTAGAAGCATCTTTTATACAACCGTTATAGAAACTTATTGATCGGGCGGGATCCCTACGTTGTGTTTTTATGATACGGATTGATTAATTTTAAAGAATACCGATTGCTTGGCCGTCCTGCCATGGCGGAGGCATACGAGGCATACGAGACACTGTTGTATTGTTTATTTGTATTGCTTGTTACAGCGGGTAGGGTAGTTATACATATAAATGACGTTGCACAAACACATATTTATACTCAAGCTTTATTGTTTTGATGGAAGTTCTTATATCCTTATATCACGTTCGTAGACACTTCCCAACAGCTGCTTCTAAATTTAGTAGAAAGTAGAGAGGGTCTAGTACACCCTACTAACGGGTGGCAACTAAAATTTTGGAATTTCTTTCTCAAGCTGTCAAAAAAAGACAAACATACTTGAAGAAGATCTGATTTAATGAAATTAAAGATACATTGTCCATTGTTGAAAAAAAATTAGTGAACATTTGAAAACGGTCCGTAATCGGATGTTCGGCGAAGCTTCCGTTTGATATCGGAACAGGAGCGTTGTACGGCCTTCATGTCAACTTGGCGAATGCATGTCTTGATTCTACCAATCAACTGTTTGCAATTCGTGGCTCTCCAGTTATTTTTGTACACCAAGGAGCTCAAAACCCCGAAGAAATCTTCGATTGGGCGACACTGAGGCAGATTTGTCGGGTTGTGGTTTTTGGGTACAAATGGGATCGAATGGGTATTCAGGAACGATTGTGTTTTTTTGGCGTAATGCGATGACGCTTTATCCGGCCAAAACACGTATTGTCCATCAGCATGATGTTTTTGTAGAAACGGGATCAAAATTTTCTTCAAACATTCGTTCTGGTACACATATTGATTGATTGCCAAACCAGAGGGCTTGAACCATGGCTTAGAAATGCCTTTCTCGGTCCTTTTGCGTCCATAATTTTGGCTGGTCTTCCACTACCTTGCTTGCGAGCAGTTGTTGGGGATCTTAGGATATGGTAAACAGTCGAATCCGCAACATTTTCGCTTTTAAAATGTTGTACCACAGACAAACAGACATAACATATTGAATAATTCTCACTGTAAAATATCGTCGCTGAAACATTACCGCCATCTGTTGAGTGCACTGTGGTGGGCACTATGCTGAACAGATAGCGGAAGTGTGTAAAAGTCAGACGCAAGCAAAATTACTATGCGTGCCACAGGTGGCGGTACTACCAACTACGATACTTTTAAATTGACCGTTAAATGCTTGTTCGATGAAAAACTTGCGAGTGTTATGTCTGTTTGTCTGTGGTTGTACCGTATACTTTTTGCCGAGATTTCTGTGCAGTTCATAGAACTGTACAACGCACTCACGAAATACTTCTTGTTTCGACGGCATTTTGAGCAAAACTGAGCAAGCATAAACAAAACAGAAAATACTAGCAGAAAGAGGAGAGAGAGAGCTAACACATACACACTCTTATTTCTCTCTGAGCTCGTTTGTTGTTGAGCATAGAAGCCTCGAAAAAATTCCAAAATTTTAGTTGCCACCCGTTATAGTAGAAAGTGAACCTGAAGGGCGTTTGTTACACTCTTTCATGACTCCCAAATAATCATTATAGAGCAAGCTGTGAAAAGCGTTTATTACACTTTTTAATGACTCCCTAATAACTGTTGTGTAAGCACTCACAATATTCACATATTAGAATTAGTTTAACAATTGCCGTGGGACGCCAAAGTAAGCGCTTGTACAATTTTTATTCATCTCATTTATTTGTGCACATTGAAAAAATATGTAATTATGTCATAATTCGCATTCTGTGATTATGGAGGAAGTAGTAACAAGCATCTGTTTAATCTTTGATTGATATTCTTATCACTCTTATGATTAATTGAAAGAATTTATCTTGTTTTCCGTGCTGAGCACCAATGCTACCGATGCCAGGGAGGCAGCTCCCAAACCTGGAGCCTACCTATCGACCCATCAACTCATGAACCGGGGACCAACGGCTTTACTTCCACCATTCCGAAGGAAGGCGTGATCAGAGATGTTATGCCTCAGAACATCCCGGTGGCGCCGACTGGGATTGAACCAAGGCCTGCTGGGATGAGAGGCAATCACGCTTACCACCACACCACCGGCGCCGCTAAATCGACGTATCTGATTTTGTAAATAATCACTTCAATCGACGATTTGCGGTAACTGCTAGCTCACTCACAAAAACTAACAACACCAGCTAGTACGGGAACGATTCCCTTACCAGATGATGGTGTTTGTTTGCGTGGGTGAGTTAGCAGTTAAGACAAATCGTCGATTGAAGTGATTGTTTACAAAAGCAGGTTGGTCAATTGTTTGTTGGGTTTTTCTTGGAGTTAAAAAATGCTTTTCCCTATACCGTTTCAGTCGACGCAGGCGACCATTTGACCATGGGGCTTCGGCGTAGGGCAAGAAAGAGGAACACACTCAGTCAAAATCTGGCAAATCATTTGGTTGAAGTAGCGAACGGCATCGTCAACACAACTAGCTGATTCTATTGGTCGCCAGCCAACTTGAGAGATAGCAGCCCTTAGTCCAGCATAGTCAGTTCTTAGGATTACTGAGATGATAGGGTCGTAACATTCACTCATCAAAAGATCGCAAATATTATTCGTGTTAACAAAACAATTCATCGAACAACAATTTATTATATCAAAACTACGAACGTCACTTATCAAGATGAATTCTGATGCAATGAACCCAACCTACTAACAATCTATCCTCCCCCTGTGACCTTTGTGAGGGCGCAGAGGGTAGACATGGTCCCCAAAACAACAAAGACCACTCTAGCATGCCTTC